TCCCGTGTTTAACGCACGCCTAGCCAGCCAGCGTTTTTGCCCGGCTGAAACATTTTCTACGAACGACCATAACAGTAAAGTGAAAAGAACCTCTCCCCGGCGGATCGGGGGAACAAGAAAGCGTTAAAAAAGAATGAAAGTTAATGCGCCCGTTGCCGGTCTTTGTGGCGGCTCGACATTGAAAGTAAATGCACGAAAATTGCATAATTTCGTCCGGAACAGCTAAATAGATCGGCCGTAACCAATTCCATTTCCCATAGAGCCCCCAGAATCTCGAGTACAGATCTTCGACGATCAAAGAATCGTCGCACGGTCTGCAAAAACGCTTTTGCAAACGTGCCTTCAAATGGCAAAAACCCTTCTAAACGTCACCTTGTCCTAAAGTCGACGGACAGATCCTAAGAGCGACCAGCTTTTGGGGTGTTTTGCACATCGCGCGCCGTGTCCGGCGACGCTGCTTTCATCTCGAGTTTCAACGTTTTCTTCGCCGTAATAGCGCGTTCGGTATGGACCAATCTTGACGAAATGTTTGAGGCGGGAACAATTTTGACAGCAGATGCGGTTGCAAAGAGAATCGCGGACTCTGAATCGTGGTCGAACAGAAGCGAATTCGTTCGAACGCGTTTATTCGGAGATTCGTTGATATAGTCGCGAGGATAGATTTATATTGTTCATTCGAGATTCGAGGAGAAAGGATGTTTAATTTTACAGCGAATACAATGATTATATTGCTGTGTCGGAGCATGACGTTACTGGCGAAAGTGCGTAATCGATTTCACGATAACGTTGCGCTGGAATTCTATGTCCTATTACGCTCGCCTTGGAATCAGGGTAAAACTGGCCTTGATACGCCTCGCAAAATTACGTTGCGATACACCTCGCTTCACAGACGGTCTACTTCTGAGAGCGGTCACCGGGATCCGATTTACATATTTAAGCGGGCTGAAATACTGTTCCTAGAAAAGTGCTCGGTGGACCCGACGGAATTTTCGGTCCAGAAACCGCGCGATGGAGCAAGGGGCGCCCAAAACGATAGAAAATATTTCCTAACCGAAATGCATATATTTATTATTTATTCAATGTCCATAATTGCACGATGGCTTATCGGAAAATATCAAAAAGTTGAACATAAATATATGCGGTAAAGAAGAAGACAAATTTTATTACCTATTAAAATTAGCCTTCCAACAACATTAGCAAATGAAACTGTAATTATAGAATATAACTGTTGAAAATGTCAACGTTTTAAAGCCAATTTACCAGCATTTTTATCACCGTTAGCAATTAATTTGCAACTAACGCGAATACAAATTAATTCTTGCGAATTGCCGTCTTCAAGATTAACCGCGTGCTCTCGGCAATCAGCTGTTAGAATCGAAAGATCGTTTCAATGTTTTTCCTGATTTTTAAGCCGAACGAGATTCGTTAGCAGCCGGAGGCACTTGGACGTCGTGAGAAAGTACCCTCCGAAGAATGCGAATCCCAAGGAAATACGTGCTCGATTGGTCAACACGCAATCTATCCATTTAAATATTGCGCAAAACTGGTGATCCGTCGTTTGTCGAAGAACGGAGCGCAAAGCGCTTTGTAGTCACGATAAAGAGAACGTCGTGTTTAGACATTGTCTAATTTGCAGTTGGAATTGCGTGCTGGAAATTGCCGGTCTTCGTCGCCGATGAAAAATCCCGAGGAGAAGCAGCAAGTCTCCAGCAAGAAATAGCAATCATTCTCGTTTCTATTTAATATCTGCGCCATGGGGGAGGCGGAACCGTGAATTCGATCGGTGGAGGAAGCCTGGAGGCTCCAATTTCCTGCTAAAAAATTGTCGATTTTATCGCGGGAAATAATTACACAGCTCCTTCGGAAATGTGCGCCGATTACAGTAATATCTCTCTAATTGACGCCCAGATTGCGCACAAAAATGGACAATTTGGGAAGAGGAGATACGATTGTTCGAGCCTTGCGGTTTATTTTTATAGTTATAAATTGTCCACGATTATAAAATAATATAATAATAATAGAATAATCGCATCTCCTCTTCCCAAATTGTCCATTTTAGTGGACAATCNAATACAAATTAATTCTTGCGAATTGCCGTCTTCAAGATTAACCGCGTGCTCTCGGCAATCAGCTGTTAGAATCGAAAGATCGTTTCAATGTTTTTCCTGATTTTTAAGCCGAACGAGATTCGTTAGCAGCCGGAGGCACTTGGACGTCGTGAGAAAGTACCCTCCGAAGAATGCGAATCCCAAGGAAATACGTGCTCGATTGGTCAACACGCAATCTATCCATTTAAATATTGCGCAAAACTGGTGATCCGTCGTTTGTCGAAGAACGGAGCGCAAAGCGCTTTGTAGTCACGATAAAGAGAACGTCGTGTTTAGACATTGTCTAATTTGCAGTTGGAATTGCGTGCTGGAAATTGCCGGTCTTCGTCGCCGATGAAAAATCCCGAGGAGAAGCAGCAAGTCTCCAGCAAGAAATAGCAATCATTCTCGTTTCTATTTAATATCTGCGCCATGGGGGAGGCGGAACCGTGAATTCGATCGGTGGAGGAAGCCTGGAGGCTCCAATTTCCTGCTAAAAAATTGTCGATTTTATCGCGGGAAATAATTACACAGCTCCTTCGGAAATGTGCGCCGATTACAGTAATATCTCTCTAATTGACGCCCAGATTGCGCACAAAAATGGACAATTTGGGAAGAGGAGATACGATTGTTCGAGCCTTGCGGTTTATTTTTATAGTTATAAATTGTCCACGATTATAAAATAATATAATAATAATAGAATAATCGCATCTCCTCTTCCCAAATTGTCCATTTTAGTGGACAATCTGAGCGTCAGTAAGGGAGACATTACTGTAGACCCACGATCGCGATGAGAAAAGCTTTTCGTTCGGTTCCTGGCTCCTGGCGGCCATCTTGAAAAACACCCTCCGCTCTCTGTTGCTCCGTTTAATAAATTTGTTACCCAAAAACTCGACGTTGGAGAACGCTCGAGTATTTTCTGGTCCGTTGAAACGCAACCTGCGTAATTGGCCCGGTGCGGCGGTGTTTTTCCCTCGGTTCTTCTGATTTCGTTCGTGAATCCGGCCATTGTTGCGGAATCATATTCGCGGAAGCGTTGGCCAATCGGTTCATATCGATCGTCACGGTCCGGCAAATAATTGCAGATCGTTTCGCGGGTCCATCGATTCCGGGAGACCTGTCGCAACACGGCGGACAGATATTTAACGGGGGCCCAGGCTATTTTCTGCGTTCATTCCGCGACAGGTCATCGGTCGGTCTGGTGTGTGCGAGTGCATTAATTGCGCAAACCTGTGCAGATCCGACTTCGAGAAAGTGAATCCCGCGTCGCGAACAAACGATCCAAGGTCGCGTCGCTCTTCTCTCGCCGGTTGTTGCGCGGAATTGGCCATTTCACGGTAATTATTTCGCCAATTATTGAAAATCTAAATGTCATTTACTCGATTGTGTCGTCGCTAAATTGTCAATCTTTATCATTCTTTGCAAAAGATCTATATGAAATAATTTCACGAGAAATAAAGAAAATGAGAAAAGAAATTAAGAAAAGAATAAAAATAAGGATAAAGAAAAAGAAAGAAATAAAAAGAATAATTTCATAAGAAATTAAGAGAAGCATCGAAGAAACCTGCAACCGAAGCCTATCGCCGCAAATAACAGGCACCTTTGAACCATGCCAGAAGTGCAATGAAACCGATCTTCTCGAAATGTCACCGGTCCGACGAGACGTCGAGATCGTCGAGGAAGTAGCGCTTCGACGATGTTAACAACCGAAGGCGGAAGCAAATGGTGTATGAACGCTTCCTTCTCGTATAATTCATCATTATCTCCCGGGTAAATCGGTTCGCCTAATTGAAAGCCCTCCTCCGATCCGCGAGCCGATATTATTACATCGAACGTCTGTTTAATGTGCACATTGTAGATACCGCTAGATGCGATCCAGCAGATCCATTCACTATTTTCCCGTTGCAAGTTGCAACGCACAGTCGGTCAGTCGGTGAATTTGTTCCCGATACTCCGATCCGGAGGACGCGTTCCATATTTTGAATCGTAAACGGGAATTACGCCGACAAAATAGACTGCGTCTATGCAAATGGGCCGAATCCATTATGCAAAATAAAAATTATCCAGCTAAATTATTCGATGATACTAATTTTATACCGTTGTGATTAGACTGCGGATGTTTATTGATTTATTTATTTGATATTCGATTAAAAATAAGAATTAAATAATAATATTTAATTAAATAAGAATTAAATAATAATGCAGCTTCTGTATCTTGCAATTAATTACTGCAACTATATATACCGTTAATATTCTGAATAAATATCCGCAGATCAGTTGTAATCTAGAATTGCAATTTTTGCAAAACGATTCAATTGGCAGTCGGAATTATTTTCAGCGATTTGTAGAATTTTTGGCGAATGAACTTATTCATAGTTTTGGTCAATTGTTAAAACTGTCTTCGTCCGATTCACAGGCTTTCTGGACGAATTTCAGAGAAACTTTAACACGGTCAGTAACGTTATCCTTTGCCCTTTGAGTTTGACCGGACTACTTCACGTTAAGATCGTATCTATCTAGCTGAGTCCATTCTACAGTAATTAAAGAGCAGTGTATCTTTTCCGGTAGCACGTCGCTCGCAGATCAGAAATCTCGATCGGAAAGAAACGTGTGAATCATTATGTGTTAGCGATAAATACCGATTGTTTCGTTCACGATTATTTCGCGTATTTGTTATAATTATAATTAGCGTGGAAATTACTTGTCACTTAGAATTAGCGAATTAGAGGTTCTTAAATTTTAACAGATAACTGTAATAATTGATGGAAATTAGCGCAGAATAAATAAAATAAAAATAAGTAAAAATAAATAAAATAAAAATAAATAAAAATGAATAAAATAAGAATAAATAAAAATAAATAAAATAAAAATTTTAAAAAATGAAAAAGGAAATGTCTTTCTTACGGGTTCGCAAGTACAGATTGACCCTAGCCCGCAGGTCGAAGGAGGTCGAAGGACTCGGTCGCTCGGACCACGAAGATAGAGGATCAGCTAGGAAGTCGCGGTGCTGAAGAGGTGGAAAAAGGTGAACACGTCGCGCCGGGTCCTCTTTTCTTGAAGAAGATCGTCGAAAGTGTAACAGTGAGTTTCTCACAGCGTGTCTGCCCGGACGTCGGGAATCCGACGAGATATCTCGCAGGTGGCATTCCTGTTCGAGCGGTTCGGAGCGATCTCGGAGAGACTCGGGGTCACCGGGGTTCAGCAGAACAGTGAATCGGAGGTCGTGGAACCTGCGGAGCACGCGGTGGTAGGAGTAATAATAAAGGGAGCCATTCAACGAGCCACGCTCGATAGGACCTGCCAGTGTTCGGTTATCCTCTCGCGGGTCCGCAGGACACTCCGGCTCCGGCGAACGAGACTCGCCTAATCGTAGCCGCTGATACGAACATAACGCGGCCTGATAACAACGATAACTCCGATTAAAAACTGCCAATGATCGCTGAATGCCGAAGTGCTCGATATTCGCGTTATTTACCTGATTTCGTAGGTTTTTCTCGGCTTTTCGAACCTTCGTTTCCCGGCTCGGAACCTTCCAAATCCATCTAAAACGATGATAATTGTGCAGCTTTTTTGAATACAATTTAGAAGTCGTCTTCATACTTGAACGGACGAGTCCCGAATATTGTTCCAACAGAGTCAGCAGTCCCAGGGATTCGTCGGTGACGATTTGAACGGTAAAAAGAAGCTCGAAAGTGTTGAAACAGTTCAGCCGAAAGCTCGGTAGTGTTCGAATATGCTGCTGTAACGCGAAAGCCTGCTGATGCGCGTCGAACGATGAGCTTTCCTGCGATTCCGGACGATCCTATGAAACCGGGGCTGTCGGTTAATGTTACGCGGGACGAATTAGGAACGGCTCGCAGCTGATATGACATGAGACCGTATCAATCGATGAAGCGTAAAAGGATCAACGTCGCGCTGATTCTTCATGGGCCTGGAATGTTGCAGCCGATGGTTCAGTGGAGGGCTTTTTTCATCTTGTCGTTCGTGATACTCGTGTCGTCGCCTTTCAGCGACAGTCGCGGTACGTAATGCTAGAAACCGTACGACATAAATGAAACGATGTAAATAAAACGGGAACAGGATGATAGGACGTTTCGCTGATAACGTTAACGTGTACGTGATACAATTTTATTACGGAATTCCGGTTCTTTGCCGTCGTTTTTTTTCATCGATCGCTCGATAAATGGAAAAGTTTTGACACAGAATAGAATTTGACCGGGTAAATCGCGAATCCGGATTGTTGGCATAATTGTCAGACTTTTCTCAGTGTCATAAGTGCACCGTGTGACACACTGTAGACGGAAGCGTGGCTCACTTTGCAAGATCACGGTGCAACTAGCGTGAAACGAACGAGTGCACGGGTGAGAAAACTCGGGGAAAAATATGCGCTTTCGAGCACACGCGCCGCGACGAACGCGAATCGGCGGACAATCCATGAAAAAGACAAATGTTAATTCGTCGTTCGGATTTTCGACGATTTTCATGACCGTTCACGAAATTTATATTCGCATGATTTTGTTCACGCAGCCAGGAATCCGCCGAACATCCAAAAGATCGGGAGCAGCAGAACGCTGAGATCGAACAAAGACGAGCTGTCCGCTAATTACATAGACGACGGATGGCACAATGGGAATCTTTACGAGGACCAACTTGAAGAATCATGGGGCTCGATGCCCGTGCAGCAACAACAGACAAATATTTATACGCAGGAGCTGCCGTTTGCCAATTTCACCCACAACGATACGGGGGATTACCAGTTAGTGTGAGTCTGGTTTTTCGAAATTTCTGTATAATTTTATTGGAAAATATCGAACAAGGTCTAGTAAAAAATACGGGTTGTTTTAGGATACACAACGAAGAGACGCTGTCCCATAAAAGGATCAAAAGGGGAGTAATACATCTTTACAATATGCTGGTTTGTGCTACCGGATGCAATCCTTTATCTTATAAAGGATATGGGTGTTATTGCGGCTTTCTGGGTGCAGGATATGTTATAGACGGCATAGACAGGTAATTTACTTATATGTCACTATTGAACCTTCAAAGTATACTGCTGGTCTTTATGTAAAGTAAGAATTGTCTGAATCAGTTCTATAGAGAAGAATGGAAACTTCGTTCTTCCTTTACTAATTTCACTGAATCCAGGATTCTTATTCTTATTCTTAAATTCTTTAGATCTAAATGCATAAAATGCTTTAAAGCAATCTTATCAGTATGACAAGATTAACAAATATAATTGTAATTGTAATATGTTCATCGATATAGAGTAAGGAATCATTTCTCATGAAAGCATCTTTAAAGTTTCAATAATTGATGCTCGAGATGGAGAAAATGCCAAAGAAATTCAGGAAATTGTTTACCATGGATCATCCGAAGTTGAACATTGTTTTTTTCCAGGTGTTGTAAAATGCATGACTGGTGCTACGATGCTACGGATTGTCCGATGTTTTCAGAGTACTTTGTACCATATTATTGGAGATGTTATCATGGCTACAAGCCGGTCTGCGGTACGTTCCACCGTGTTTCTGCAGCTTCTAAACTATTTTCGATTCCATAATTATTAGGCCCGTTTATTTTGCAGCCGTTGAGCATGGAAACTGGGGAGGATCTGGGTCGTGTTCTCAACGGTTATGCGAGTGCGATCGTTCGTTCGCAGAGTGTCTGAGACGTTACCCTTGCCCAACGACCAAAGCCGTATGCACCTCGTCACCATGGAGATTGGTTCAGAATCTGTTCATGACCATGTGATTATCAACAGGATTACAATGAATATAAACACTAACATGGAAAATTAATTTATAAATTGCGTTAATATACCAAAGATAACACGATCCTTTTGTACATGTTGCAAGTGAAGGTACAAGATTTATTTATAAATGAAATATATATAAGTATAATGATTTATTAGAATTTACTTCGAAGTATAAAACTTTGTGTAATAAAGCATACACAAAAATAATACTCTATTAACAACATTCGCTTTGTAATATGAATTACTTTACAGTGTTAATTACCCCGGTTAATTGTACATCTCGGTTTTTGTACTTCTTTGAAATATCTTGTTCTATCTGTAAATAAATGAGGAAAAAAATTATTGAAGAAATATTTACAATATGAAAAAACGTTATAGACACCTTTTCTTGTAGCTCCTTTGTCCTTTGTATGATACATTGTAAAAGGGGTTGAAGCGCCGCCACTTCTTTCGCGGCAGTTTGCCTTTTCTGTTTCATTGTATGTTGCATTGCTATCATTTTGTCCACTAAACTCTGCTTATGTTTCAAGGTTGTAGAAAACTTATCTATATAACTGCCAAAAGGGAATGGGTGTGTCAGCATTGTTTGGCTATTGTGTGCAAATAATATCCCTCTCATCTATTTACCTCGGAGAATGTTTAATGTTATGCAGGTGTTGAACCACTGGGTTCAGCATCTGGGATAAAACGGCTTCCACACTCTCTAACATATTCTGAGTGTTTTTTACATTCGAATATTGCAGAATAGAATCATGAATCTGACTGAAGCTTAGGAAATTCACGCCATCGTCGGCTTTTAATTCGTGTAATCGTAATATAAGGAATGCTTCCAGCTGCATAGAGACGCACAGTTCAGACAAAATTTTAATTGCTGGTATGAAGTAAGTAGGAAGAAGTAACGGTATATACCTCGTACAATTGATTAATAAAATCACTTCTGGTAGAAGGATTGTCAAGAACCGTGTACGCTTCGGTACCGCTAGCCACTCCACCTTCGAGACCAGCTGCTTCCACGACTATACCAGACTCTTCTAAGGAGATATTGAAATCTATGCCATCCGCGGGCGCATCTACTTCCGCATTCCCTTCGCCCCAGTCAATTTCTGCCCCATCTTGCAAATTAATATCACCACCCCAATCTATGTCTGCGTTCAAATCGATATCCCCAAAATCAATTTCCTATAATTTGATAAATGATAATACTGATATGTCGAAATACAATTCCAAGAACCTTTCAGAATCTACGTACAGTTTCTGTTTCTTCAGCTTTTTTACTTTCTAAATCGTCATTATCAGTGTTTATGTTTAAAGGTGGTTCATTAATTGATAACGGGGGTTCTCCATAGATCCATTCATACGTGGTAGTATTCCCCTTTTCTAATAAATTTCAGAAAATATGAAACTAATTGCATGTTAAATTTGCACAACTAAGTTTGACCCTACCAATTACATATTTCAGCATGGGAACACAGCCATCATCGTGCAGTCTACCTAGAGTGTAATTAACAAAAGCACAATAAAATTCTATAGCTTTTTGTACTGATTTTGATTCTTTGGCAATTTTCTCATAAATTTCTGGCAGTTCTTTTACTTTTTCCGCCAGTTCCTGTTTGATATGATGGCCATCAATGCATAATTGCTTACAAAATGCATCGAACTCTGACTGAGCTGCATTCTCTAATTTTTTATACTCTGCTTCCTTCTTTTCAAAGTCCTGAATATATGCTGATTTTAACACAATGAAAATACATTAATCTAATATAATTACTTACAGTTTGCATCTGCTCCAATTTTTGAATTTGTTTCTTACTGCTAGGCACTTCGTATATGACATTTCTAATAAGCATTTGTGCTATTTCTGCCAAGTACAAGTTGTCTTTTTCGTATGCCTTCACTATTTCTTGCCAGTCTTTCATTCTCTGCGAACCATACCTTCCAAAAACATTTTTTGTATCAGCCTCGGTCTCTTTCAATATTTCCACTATTTTTAAGCAGTGGAAATAGTTTATATCTAAAAATACATAAACAAATATGAAAGTAATATTAGATCTGTTGAATATGCAAATTAATTGCAAGAATCATTGATCAAATGTTAAAAGATTATATGCATAATTCATATACAACTTACATGTTCCAGATAATAATTTAGCAATATCATCATGTTCAGGCATATCTTGAATGGCATTATTAATTTTTTCTCTAATAACTAAAACCTTTGTATGCCAATCTTTATTGCAATGTCGCCTGCTGATTAACCACTCCAATAATTTTCTGGTGTCAATAATGATAGAAAAGTTTTGCTCCTAAAAAAGACAGTGTTTTCGATTTTTATTAGAATATGCTATGGTTAATGTTAACATTTTATTGTGCATTGTGTGTAGAATAAATAAACAATGTTACAGTATATACAGAACATCAAATTGTGCAAAAAGAATTGTGTATTTTTGGACTGTAAACTTCTACAATATCTAAGCGTTAAGGGGTGAAATTTACAAAATTTACCTCCATAATTGAAAGTGCCTATAAACAATCACTTCGATTTTCTCCTGTCTGTTTCTCTGTAGGTTATAACAGCTGTTAGTTCTAGATTATAGTGTTACAGCATTGCGAAGTGATTACAACGACCAGGATACGACACCGGCTGTCTTAATGACACGTGCCTTACGTATTTCCGGCAAGACGGAATTTAAATCCACGGAACGTCATATGAATGATCAAAAATACGTGCCACGTATTCAAATTTTCATCAGTGCACATTAACAGCAATTACAGTGGTAAATGGTACATAAAATTATTTAAAAAAATTGAAACTAGTTATACTACATTCTGAGCATGTAATATCAAGGTACGATTATTTGGAGAATCAATAATTGCAATATTATGATATGGAAAGAAAGTTTACGATTTATTTCGTTACGTTTCTTGTACATATAAATTTCTGATATGCGAATGCATTTTTTCTTTAACAATTAAAGTATTAAATACTTATATAAAATATGCCTATTGACGAAAAACTTGTATACAACCTCCAATGTCTCCAACAGAGGAATATTTTTCTTGATATCGATTAAGTTCGTCAATTTAGGAACATACTTATCGTACAATAATTAAAAACAAGGAGAATAAATGATCGTAAAGGGAAACATAGCCATTCGCGCAGATACTTTAATTTATTATATTACAGTTTCACAGTAAGAAAAAATGTGTTTCTTCTTTCGCGGTAATGTCCGGTACACTGTCAGTAGCAAAGTACAATTATAACTTAAGAATTTCGTGTAAGTAAAGGTAAGACAATATAACAGTTCCGACTATTGCCTGTTATAGCTCTCGGTAGAGCAGGTACCCATTCTAAAACAGCCTATCCTTCCTATAACTTAATGTCCAAATGATACACACATGAACGGGCATACACATTTTCATACACAAGTGAACAGAATTTATTCTTGTTAGAATGTTCCGTCTGTTTGATATAGAGTTATTTCATGACGTCTGAAGGAAAGCCAACACATCCGAAACAACTGGCCGATGTTAACATGGCACCATAACTGGTAGTTAGAGCTCGTTTATGATGTAATTATCACATCGCTCAGACGGAGACGGTATTTTATTGTGAGCAAAAAAAATACTGTCATTCGCAAGTACACTAGTGAATGCGCTAGGGTTTTCTCTCTGTGAAGAATGTCTTCAAAATATACACCTGCATCACACATATAGCGATAATAGTAAATGTTTCTACGATCGACCATTTCAACACATGATCATTTAGATCCTCTGCACGTTTACGGCCTTGTGCTTCCCTTAATCGATGATGCGTTTGGTAGTCTAGAATTTTATTCAAGTGTGTATGTACTTCGTGTACCGAAGACTCCATCTAAACAAAATCATTGATTACAGTATCTAATTTTAAACAAAGACGTTCCACTTTAAGATTAACCTCTGTATTACCTGAGTCATGACGGTTACATGTTCTCCGAGACCAGCCAGAGGCATCTGATCGCCCACACGGAAGTCCATGTAGACTAACTTGTGTGAAAATGTAGAAAACTCGTTGCTAAAACAGGCCTTGTATGCTCCTGTCATAGCAGCTGTAAATTGATGCGAATCAAACTGAGTCTTAATTTGTTGGAAGATAATTTCTTTATTTGGTGCTTCTAAGGATACATCTACGTCGTATTGTCCGCCTGTCACGACCTGCAAAACGATGTTAAAATGTAAATCTTTCTGAAATACAGTATAGCAATGTAACAGAAACTTTAATATCAGCGCGATCGCCAACAATTCATGACAGATACGCAGTCAAAATGTGAACGTGGCCAATGCTATCGCGTCCCAATGAATGAAACTGATTATACGCACGATTTCATAATTGCGGATTATTAAGAAAAGTAATTCATTTGATCGTATGCAAAAACGTACCTGAAATTCCAACATCGCCGTCTCATTCTTCGTAATATCTTGAAAGAAACACTGTTTCTCATTATCTGGAAGTTCGAAGGTTAACTCAACACCACCAGTGCGTAATATCGTACCGAATAGCGAAACTAACAGCAAGCAAATCGACCAGTAGTCCATTTTTATTAATCTTTGTATGTTGCTGTTTGCACACTATTCTACATACATTAAAGCTTAAATAGGTTTATAAACCTCGACGTTTTATTCGTCGATCAAGGCCCCGGCCAAAATTTTATCCAAACAAGCTATTTTAACGTGGCCGGATATTATGTAGTCGCGTTGATACGACTGAAGCGCCATACTGTCGGAACTGACTACGGTGACGTCCGATTTTTAAGAACGTCTAGAAATCGTTTTTTTTTTATTTCATTTCTATCAACAAATATCGCTTTTCGTCGTAAAATAACTCGTAAATTATTCGAGAACATTCCGCCAACCATGTTGACGAATTTCGAGGCTGTTGCGAACCGAAGAAATTATTATTCGTTATGTAGCACGTTTACTCGTTGCACTTACGAAATCAATATTGCTATAATTAAAACAAACTCTGCATTTCAGGACAGAAACGTTTCAGGTAATTAATAAATATTTAAGGCTATACCTAGTTTATATTTAATACACGTTTATGGTTCTATCAACAGTTTAATATGAAAATTATGGAAAGAAGAGCTTTTTTATTCGTTGCTGAAAACGTGTGCATATACGTATTTTTTATAGATAGTGATACTGCAAAGATCAATAAGTTGCCTTGCGCGATTCTGGTTAGATGCATGTCCATAGGTAAACTCACAAATTTCGTCACGTTGTTGATCGTGTATTATTAAGTACATGTACACGAGTTCGTGGAATATTAAATAGTTTCCTGTACGTGTTTCCTCTACATTGCATGAACCAGAAAACCGGAAGTTTGTTAGAAGGCTATCGATTGTTTAATACTTAACACGAAATGAACGAAATAACTGATTCGATTATTGAGCTTCGCTAAACCGTGTTAATTTTATTTCAAATAGACGAAATTTTGTAATGTTCCGAAAAGATGATTCAACGCGTTTTTAATATCCAACAAACGTTATTTAAATACCAGATGCAATGATACGGATCATTTATTTTTGTTCTGTAAAATTCTTGTTATGTACAACGTTGTATGAAAACAATGACATTACGTTTTAGTACTGGAACCTGACGTCCGTATGTAAGTACATACATAGCGGTGTCGCGTGAGGCGCCCTAAGGTCCCGCCTACTATTTTAATAGAGTCTCCTCGTCTGTCATGTTAGTTATTCATGGAAGTGTGTTGCAGAGAACAAGTCACGTGTATCGAAGGGCAAAGGGGATATCCAAAAGAGAGGGAAACCAGTATAAAGGTCTTTTTCATTGTGAAAGAATACCGAGTGCGATGAGGTGTGCAAAAATCATACGTAACTCCCAGGATCACTTGGTAAGGACACGTTCAGTATGCAATTATGAAATACATATCGACATTTGTAAGCTGTTTGTTGTATTACCGATCATGACGCTAGGTCGTTATATTTGAAATATGCCTCCACGAAAAACTCGTAGTTTCTCACAGAAATTCTCATTTTCGCGTTCAATTTCACGAAAACTGAAAAATTCTGTCTAAAGGTTAGAATTAGGTTACACGATTGCGATGTCGTGCATGATCGAGTAATGCAATGCTGTGTAACTTATTTACTTACTTAATGCTGGCGCAGCAATAACCTCCGTGAATTTTTTGATAAACTCGCATAGCGTGCTCGAAGGATTCTTAATGGTATCGAGAAATCGTTCTAAATTTAGTGTTGCTATGTATATCGAGGATGAAATCGATACGGGACGGGTTCGATCGGAACCGATGCGCTCCGTTGTTTTCCCGCGTAAAATTTGTATAACCTATGATTATACCATTCCGACGAATTCTTTCAATTAAACGGAGCCACAATAAATACTTTTACACGTACACGGTAAATTCTAAACTTAAGCTCACACCTGGATACCTGGTTATCGATCATAAATCATTGTTTTATCATTCTGCCATTCCATCATGATGCACAAAATTAAGTACCAAACGAAAATGCATACTGTCTGGTTGTTCTTACGCAATCCAAGTCAGAGAATAAAGATCGAAGCAGAATGAAATTTGCCTAATTGATCGAGCGTAATGAGAATGTTCGAAGTCCGTGAAAGTAAAAGTCGAAAGGACCGTCTACGTTATATTTACCGACGCGCTTTCCATCGGGTAAACGTGGACACGTGTGAATTAAAGAAAAAGAAACGTCCGTAGAAGAGAAGTATCGATCCCATCCTCTGCGGGCGTGAAATTTAAGAACGTCTTCTCTCGTGTGCACGTGCAGTCAACTTTCCTGGATTAGTGTAGGTGCGTGTACACGCGGGGATATACGTGTACACGTGTCTGTACATACGTGTGTCCCCGGTGTGTAAGTACACGAGGAGTCAGGTTCGAAATACGAACAACACGAGAGGTTTCTACACCACGATTAACTCCATGGGAGTGGGGAGGACGAGCACACGACCGCATCAAGCTGCTGGGCACCATGAGTTTTCGAACGACAACGGTAGGAGGCAGATCTCTTCCCCGGGCATTCCCGCCGCCGCCGGTGTTATTTTTACCCACGAAAATTTTCCCTTTCGCGTGTATACTCACAGAAGGAAATCCGTCGCAGAAAAGGGAATTGTGTTTCTGTACGGCGGGGTCCGTGAGCCGCAAACGCGTGTGAAAGGAGAAACGCGTTCTTACGGGCCGAGACCGAAGATGATCCAGTGTAACGTAGGTCGGTGACTCGAAAAATCCTCGTGGCGGATGTTCGTAAGGTAAGCAGCACTATTCGCAATGCATACGCTCCCTTCGAAATATCTGTACATCCGGTTTCAGATGATCAAACATAAGCGTCTCTCGTTCATAGAGAATAGAATTAGAACGGTATGGACACCGTTACCGGTTTGCGGGATTAGATCTACGGAAATCGATAGATCCATGGGGGACACCGTGTCGACTACGGTACTTTCGAACAGTAAATTACGTTTCTAAGCACGTTGTTTTCCCTGTCCAATGAAATATATTAAGCGATATATCACGTTCGCACGATGTTGTGTCCAAGGAAAGTGGATATTTAATTAGTTTGTTTTGTTCGTCGTGTACTATACCGTGAAACTGACGTGTAAAATAAATAAGCGTGTAACGGTGGAAAGGGGGGGGGGGCAATAGTAAAAAGAGGATATACAGCGGTAGTTCAAATATTTGGCGAATGACAGATAGAGGTGTTGTTGCGGGTAATTAGGGATGCGTGACATTTGGTGGTCGAATTGATCAAGTTTACTACACATAAACACAGAGAGAAGCCTCGACTGGGTTAGATTCGACGCGATATTTTAATTCTTGCTGAAACGTGTAATTATCGAGCTGCTTTACCCACAGTTCCCGAAATTAGCATCATAAATGGAAAATTACTAATCCGTTAATTATGCGCAAGGATCTAATTAGCTGTTCGACTAGCATAGTATTGTTTCTAAAGAATTGAAAATTTATGCGTCCGACGTGTTCTCGCTTATGGTAAGTAATGTTTCTTTCTTTTCGAAGAGTTTGTACGCAACTTTCGAGAAGTCATTAATAGAGATTGATGATTAATAGTTGATAGTTATTCGCGAATAAAATTATTCGAATAATTATCTAGAAGAAAGTTATTCTAATAATGCCAAACTCTGATTCCCATTGACAGGGTTGAACTGGAAACGAAAGATTTTTATTTACGCGAGATTACCACGCATGTGATCGTCCTTCTGACCTTGGTAATTCGTGGATGATTCTACTTGAGTAATAATTGTTGTAATAGCAACCGTAAAAGATGGTTCCGTGGAAATGGCTATCTGCTCGACCTTCGTTGACTTAGAGGTGGTGGTAACGTTTCAAAATCGACGGTCATATTCACCACCCTACCCTGTTTGGTTTCATTGGCTATTGACAATTGCAAAGTGTGTCTTGTGGGCTTTGAATATTTACAGCAATTAATGGTAGCCGATTTAAATTTACGTTACTCGTAAATGGAATTTTTTGGGAAAGCAGATAAATTAATAGTTGCATCAAAGGAATTAGTCATTGTGTTTGCAGTCGTTTTGAATAGTTTGAATGAATTGTTTCAAGAGAATAATTGTTACGGATAATAATTTGATACATGTATTTTGATGAATTATTATTAATACGCGAGGTATTTCGAGACATTTAACCGTGTTTCGTTGATTGGGATTCGACTAACGAGCGTCCGTAATTAATTCACTGGTATATTTTGTTAGCACTGGCCTCGTTTTCGGTTCCCTTCAAAATTTTCACGATCAACGAAGGAAAGCGGCGTTAGGTTATATGTATACGAGCGGGAGGGTTGCTGTAACGAAAGTTAAAAATAGTCGAATATAGCAAATGAACGAAGCAAGGTTGACGGACGCGATGCTGAAATACCTTGATATATTAATAAATTCCTCCTGCACTCTAGTATAAATAACGGTGACATAATATCCCCCTACGCATTTAATACAAATAAATGTTACAATTCCGTCAACTTTCCCGCATACTGTATTCACTGTTTGCGGTGAATGACTGGCAACAATTTTGAATTTGCGTTAACAGCATTTGAAATGCAAGAGACGTTCATACGTGCTCGGTGAGATAATAGCATCTTGTATAATACCAGAAACAACGTCGCCACCGCAATACAATGATACCTAATCGAGATAACGATCAAATACAACTACAATATTCCTGTAACATGAACCGCTGTGATCTCAAAGATAATATTAATGACAGTATACAACCGGGAAAAAGTCGAGACAACAGTGGCATTGGTGAATAACATCTCAAAGATTACGAAAAATAAATGGAACATAGCGATAACAGGGATCATGAAGTGGCGATAAATTTGACCTACGCTTTTCAAGATTAGATCATCTCTGTTGCTATTTTCTCTAGTTTCAATATTAGTTAATATCTCCACTGTGCTGCTAAGATTATGATTATGCTGCAAAAATAAAAGAAAAATTATAAAAATTCGAGTAAAGATATTGGTTACGTTGTTATCTTGTTGTTGTCACGAAGCACAAAAGGGAATTCCTTA